GACATATAAAAAGTCTGAAACCTTTTCCACCCTTATTTCAAATACATTACTTAGGTCAGTTATAGAATTTTTGGTTACAACTCGGAAGCGATCCCTCTCACCCAGTGCAACGTGACTTCGAAAATAAGAATTTTGAGCACATTTGATACGGCTATGAGTGTGGTAACTGTCTCCATTTGTTAAGTTCCAACCTTAGGTTTGGTTGGGAACTGTCACCTTTGTCTTGCATATTCTCCTAACGTCACAGATTAAACTCAAAACCCCCAACCTGCGTCATCTATGAAGTGAAGGCCTCTGTGAATTCTCGAAACATAAAGCTTATATTTTCGTGGACTCGTTCGTGTCGCTCTATGTACACTTCAAGCAAACCACCGTTGAAAGACGTTCATCTCTCGATTTATTATATAACATAAGATGATACATTGTTCACAATCTTAAGATTCATATTGCGGAATTATGGATTATTCGATGTTTTAATTCGTTCATGAGTAATCTGTTTGGAGCTGAGATGTCACAACAAGATCTACTGCAGATCGTCATGATTTCCTTGCAGCTTGAGGAGTCGAAGTACCCAATTTGGACCACTTGCAGATATACTTGTATATCAGGAGGTGGCGGAGCATATCTATCACATGGCGGGAAGAATAGGACTACTAGCCTCGTCTAGAAACCTGATATCGATAGAAACTACAACTTTTCTTCAAGCCTCGTTGGATCTGTAGACCTGTCTACCTCTGAGCAGCCAAAGTCAGCATGCAGTTACCATGCTCTAGCGTGCACGTATCGAAATGTTCCCTCACTGCCATTTTGCACACCGGACCAGGGATGGTCCGAATGTGCCATGTCCAATTAGTGTGACTGTGCTTATTTTGGACTACTGGCAATCGGAGGCCCAAACTGTCCTCTAATCCATTCCAGACAGCTTTAATTTTATGTGCCATAACGTCAGTTGACCCTCCAATTCACCGCCAGACACGGGTTTAGTTCTCAGGCGCACTCAGACTCCTAACCAGTTACTTCGATTACGGCTTGACGAGGTCTTCCCATCCTTTTCGCTTTATGACTTGTTCCCCCTTCTGGATCAGAACTACATGCTCTTAAGAACAACTAAACCTCACGGCATCTGAATCCTTGAAAAGGTACCAAACAACTGCAAGCATTTGTCAAGAGCACTCTGGGCTGCAAGTCAACGCTAGTAGCGGTAGCATGACTGGGTCCTGAAATCATCGTGCCCTTTGGTACACTGTTGACTTTTTTATAGCTGACTTTCAAGTTCCTCAAGGGGGAGGGTAAGAACAAGATTTCACATTTTATTCTGTGGGGCTATAAGGAATATTTTACATTTTATAAGGACGACTTTCTTACGAGAGAGAAGTTGACATTCTGGCGCATTTTTGGGATTCTCCCAACTCTTTCAAGCTTGAAGGAGCTTGATCCAGGACTGTCAAGCACTCATGGCAAGTTGATGGTTGAAACGACCGTGTTCAATTTGCAGAAGACTTGGTGCTAATCTAGGGCGAGAAAAGTCGGAAGTGACTACACTCATGGAACCATTTGCTTAAAGCCATTGATGATTGCAGGGAAAGTTGCTGCCATCCCGGAACCGATCCTTACGATTAGAAAAGAAAAAAAAAAGCCTTTTTTCTCTATTTGTGGAAGTTTTCTATGTCGGGTTGCTGATTTCTTCCGGCTTCATTGTGACAGTTGTTCGAGCTGACACCACTTCCTGATCTCGGTCGGTTTGGTCTATCATACCTGTCTTGACATGAGAATTTCTAAGCTTTACAATCCACTATCAGACTCCAACGAAGAAAGTAAAGATGGTGTAATTCTGCGACTGATCCCTGCTGCTAATAGAGCGGTTTCGCACAAACCTTCATATCATCTAGAACTGATAATCTTTTTCAAGTGGACTACGTTGAGGCTCGGTGCTCTGGACGAGATTCGCAGGAGTGTCAGCAGGTTACCAGCAATGCATTTAGCTGAAGAATTTACAAGCACAAATGTCGACCATGAATGGCAACTTGTTACCTCCAGCCAAGGTCTACTGTTTCGAGCACTTGTCATTATGCCACGAGTACCCGAGCCTGGGGACGACATTGCAAGCCGCCTTCAAACCGAATGGGGCATGATATTTCGTGAAAAGCAGTATATACAACCGCCTCTCCAGTATCGGCAGATTGTGCTTTAATTCCAGAATGCTCATAGTACGAATCTTCAGCTCCAAGATAATCTTATCTGACCGACCAAATAATTTGAGTCTTATCAAAATTACTTGTGCATACATTTTTCTTCCTCTCAAATTGTTTGGAAGGAAAGACGTCTCGAGTTGGATTGTAGGCGAGCCAGAGAATTTGGGGCATTTGGACGAAAACGATGAGTCAAATGTCAATGCATGCTCAACTGTCTCATATAAGGTGGCAATCCCCTGCTAGTAGAGTAGAATTGCAGATCATGGGGGTTAAATTAGTGCTCCTCCTTCCATGCGAGATTTCAATGCATGTACTCTCACAGAGCACCTGCGGACGAATCTTATCAGGCAGTATTAAAGAACTCCTAAGGATTTGTTGAAAACATGGAGTATCTGTTCTTACAAAAGCTATGAAAGGATTTAGCATCGCTAGAGTGTTCTAAATCGAGTCTGACTCCCTTGCATAGATCCGGGAGATGTTAATCTCCTTGGCAACAGCGAGCTTCAATGGATACCTCACTCACTGGATATTTCAGAAAGAGTTCCGATCATGCAGAACTTTTCTACTAGTACGATTGCACAGCTGTCAGCTACATCATGCCTAGTGGGCCTTAAAGATTGGACCAGCAGTCGATAGTGTGTCTGTTCAGTTCGGCTCACCCATTATGAGTTTCAGTCGCATACTTGTTTGAATTATATTGTAAATTATACAACTGGGGATGGATAATGTAACAAAATTTGTAGTAATCGGCTCTAACAGTTACAATCGGCCACTTTTACATTTAGTTCGAACTTCCGGCAAAGTTTCATCAGTTTAGCAATGGCGGATGACAAACAAACCGAATATGATCATGATGTTTCTGCTACCGCTTTTAGACAGCCGTCAGGTTCGTCTTCAAAACTCCGGGCCATGAATGGAAGTACCACACAAACCCACATTGATGTTCACGGTTTATAGAAGGGAATAGCTCTAGCCATACCTTTCTCAAGCATTAACATGCGCATACCAGCACATCCGAGAGTTCTCAGATGACTCTGCATTGGTGCCAATGTGCATGTGCGACCTCGATCCACCTCTCACCGATCCCACGTGAACACACCCAATCTCGATTTAATGCATACATCGGCACTGTACTGAGAGGATAAACTTTCCTGACCTGAAACACCTGCACAATTCCACTTCGCAATTTGATTCAAGGCAATATCAGCTTAGAAGTAACTTTCTGCTTGTTACATCGAGGAAACTGTAAGAGCAAAGTAGCTCATTCTCTTCAATTCTCAATCTCCTACAGAAATTTTGTTGCAGAAATCATAACGACTGTTCATCAAATTGTCCACTCCACGCGTCAAAGAAGCACGTAGATAGTACTCTTGAAACCTGTCAGCCTATGAAAGTTAACATATGAAGAGGGTAATGAATTGCCGTGTCGTTTCTGACCAATTAATGAGGACAGTCCACAAAAGGCAAAGGGACATAACAGGAGATTACTGGAGTGTTAGGAAGAAAATATCTCCTCGGATGTGGATGGCAATTTTGAGAGACCTGTTGAGTTCTGAGACGTTCAACTCTTCCAAAGACCTTATGCAAATGAACGCGCCAGTACAATACTGAGGTTGAAATAAAGATCAGTTTCAAATCCAGGTGGACATAAGGTAATAACTATGACGAGGTTCTTCGTGGATGTTCACCTGAATACCGATTGGTCCTAATGAGCCAATGAAATGAAATTTAGCACAACACTTGTTTTCCTTAATTAAAGACTGATTCTTAATGTAATATTCGCGGCCTCCACACTTAGAGAAGCAATGATATGGTTGAGAACACGCTCGTAAAATCGAGCCTGTGATCTGAACTAATACGGTCTATAACTTCATTTTTTTAAGGGAGAGAAAATAGCAGTGCTTTACATCCTCAATTGACAGTTTCGTCTCCTATGCTTTTACTCAGAAAGTGTATTTTTTTTCTAACAGTTAAGTTTACATTGTTTTGTGAAAGAAACAAATAAACGAATGAAGGTGAATTGCGCAAACAACATTAAATCAATCTTTATAAGCAAACGTAGGTAACCAGCAGCTCGCAAGGAGCACTGATCTCGAGGATATGGAAATTCGTGAAACTCCAGTTACCATATTCAGCTAATTCTGATTCCGAGTAGGAAATTGAACTTCAGTTCGGAGATGGAGACCTTTGACTGAGTCAATCCAAGGTGGAATGTGAATCGCCGTCCATAGCTGATTTGCTCATAGGCTCAACGACGTCTACCATGCGACATACAGTTATTGAACACCGACCGACCGAATTTCTCGCTTTCCATTGATCAGGATACGACTTGAGATCATGTGAGGGAAGCTAAAGTGATATTTTATCAAATTCAAGTCTTTGGAAATAAACTGTGATTTTCCGATTCAGCTATGCATTTTACGACACAAAGAACATGGTTCGACCTTTGCCATTGATCTGTATCGTTCATCCTAATTCTATGAAGTCAGTGAATTCTTCACCAAGGTGTCTTAAACACATCCGATAAGATTCCAGCATTTTCAGAGCACTCGCGATAGTGATTATTTACAACTTGTTTTGATTCATGAGGGAACTAGTCTTCAGTTAGTTTACGTTATCGTAGTACATTTCAGTTGAATCTTCCAGTGATAACTTTAGGTTGACGAATATCTGTACACTTTTGCACCTTCACATACTCTTTCTCTCAGTATAAATTTTGGTCTTTAGCCATTTTCATTGTTGTGGATTTGTCCCAATCAAGTGCTTTGTCCGTGGAGGGAGGACCTCGTTACACCATAGCTAGGCTCTGAGTGACCATCTATGAGACCATGTGACTTGCTCATGATGCGTGGAATAAACAAAAACCTTGACAAAATAATATCATCCCCTGGAAGTAACATTCACAACGAGACTGCGAATACGAAGATGCTTTTTGATGTACTTCACATTTATGATCGAGTTTAGAGAACTACAATCTGAGATCATGTCAGTGTCGCAAGCCATTGCTTGCCAGGTTGCCGTCGCCGGCTGATTCCACCACAACGTGCTTGTCGCCATGACACGACGACGGTGGAATGTATGGAGATGGATACCAAGAGCACTGGCATTTACATGACCAGGCGTGGATTGCCGGACAGATCAGCATTGATGACTTTGAGTCGGTTGGGAACCTGGCCCTCGAAGTCGTTGATGGAAAGATTCACCTCCTGCAGGTTCGGCATATCATTGAACGTGGAAGGGAGCTTTCCCGTCAGCTGGTTCTGAGAAAGGTCCAGCACTCTGAGGCTCTGCAGCACGCTGATGGTGGGAGACAGGCCAGTGAAGGCCATGCGCCCGTTCTGGGTCGACATGCGCAGCTCTGCAATGTTCTTCGGCAGCTGACGGAAGTTCAGAGGCCCATCGAGGAAGTTCCACGACACATTCATCACCAGTTGTATGGACAGATCGCGACCCAAGTAGTCACCTCGAGGAAGAGGACCCCAGAACCTGTTGTCATCCAATCGAAGAAGGCGCACTTTCGGGAGATTGTACATGCGATCGGGAATGGGTCCGTATAATCCATTCGATCCCAGATCCAGCACTTCGAGAGCCTTTGAGTTTCCGAGCGAGGTGGGAATCTCGGCATACAGCCGATTCTTGTACAGACGAAGAATGGTCAAATTCTTCAGGTTGCCAAATTCCACTGGGATCTTGCCAGTGAGTCGATTCATGGCCAAATCGATGGTTTGCAGTGAGGTCAGGGAGCCCAAAGAGGTGGGAATGACACCTCCGAAGCTGTTGGCGGCCAGATTGAGCACCCTGAGGTTCTTGAGGTTTCCGAGGCTAGCTGGGAGCACACCAGTCAGACCTGTGGCTGCAGGTTGTTTCAGACTGAAATCGCGCCCATTCTCGTCTCCACCATTGAAGAACTGGAAATCCTCGATGCTGCGCCAGCCGTCGATGCAATTAGGAATACCTCCGGAGAGATTGGGGTGGTACCGCATGACGAAAGTCTTGAGCTTGCTGAGCTTGCAAAGCTCCCTCGGGATGCCTGCTTGGCCACTCAAGCCGAAGCCGAAGAGTCCCGGAGCAAGAGTGTCGATCGTGAAGCTGGTCAGCTCGCTGAGCTTGCCATACTCCCTGGGGATCTCGCCATAGATGCTGCTGGCGTAGAGATTCAGCGTCCTGAGCTTCGTGATCGATCCCCATGCTGGAGGCAAGTAAGTATTAAGGCTGATAAATCTGAAATCTAGATCCTGCAGTTGTGTCAACCTGGGCAGTGACCTTCCGAACGCAGCAGGCTCAGCGGCACGAGTAATCTGAAAGGTCATCGGCTGCCTGAAATAAGCAGATAACAGAATTGATATCACTCTGTGCGACGCATCGCACTGGATGCCGCTCCATTGACAGCAATCTGTGCCTGGAACCCAACTATCGAGTGGACAGGGAATGCTGGGATTGTTGATGTCATTACAGTAAAAATCACCCTTGAACACCAACAACGCATCTTCGTCAACTGCAGTGCATTGCTGTGCGTGGGACTTTGGAACCAACGCTAGACCCAGCAGTAGAAACAGACCGATGCAGTTCAGTGTCGACGCCATCTTCTTCGACTTCCTCTGAATATAGATTGACCCTACAGGAAGTGCCACGTCCAGATTACAATTCGTCAGAACATTGAGGGATCAACGCAGTCAGCTCATCTGTCCTTACCTTCACTGAGTGCACACTTGCTTGACAAACTCAGACCAACATTCCCAGTCTAATCAGCTGGTGGACCACTTCATCCACTTGAGATAGCACGTCTTCCTCTCTATCGATCCAAGAACGCATCACCAATGCATAAGGTGGTGTGTTTTCTCGTTTGCTTGGCTACTTCACCACTTCATCAGTTGACTCTGGGACAAATTCGCTCTTGAATAAACAAACATACATAAAGAACTCGCTTGACCAATTCCACGCTATAACATGCAGACGATACTTCTCTGAAAAATCAGAATATTGCGACATGCGAGAAGAAGAGCAGATTGTAAACTAACTGAAGGGACTGTCTGAGCTTATGCTGGAGAGACAAATCAGCCATACATCTTAAACATATCGATAGGAAGAACACGCATGTGAGCTGCAGTTGCTGGACAGAAAGAGTATAGAGACACACCTCAAGGTTGCCTTCAAAATGTTAATCAGCCCTTGGTGTAAATCGTAGCTCAAACCATTGTGGATGTACTCATTGTTTGACAGCCGAACACGGTCAGTGACACCTCGTAGCAATGAGAATGAGATTGAAGGAGGGCTATTCAGAGTGACATATTATAGGACTTGGCTAAGCTACTGTTTCTCTGACGATGTCGAAACGTCGCATATACAGGAGCTACATCGATCATGTCGACTTGTGTACCTTTCCGTAGCCACGTGTAGCCTTGTACGAATCGTGCGAGTTCCATGCTCTGACGTGCGCCCATCGATCTTCACCTCTAATTGCAGCCTTCGCTCTTTCAGCTCAAGCAAGAGAAGAGCCTCCTGATTTCGCGACCTCAGTAAAAACGGGGTGAGACTGCTGGCTTCTGGCCACCAATTGCTGCAATCCACTCCCACTCAGCTAAAAGAGCTAAAAGATCAGATCAATAGCGTAAGATGCGTTGACTTTGATTCCAATGTCCCCAACCGAACCACAATATTTCGGTCCACTCATGTTGATCGGATATCAGGTCAACGCTCCCCACGCAACGTTCCACATTCCCCCGTTTACCAGGTGTGTTTATCCCCCCTACCTAGATGGAACACATAGGGGCAATTGTTAGGGTTACACGAAGAATCACAGATACAGAGCCTTAGAGAGCCAAATAAAGGAATGGATGGATCAAACGGGAGCTTTGGAACATATTTTGAATGACTAGACAGTGGGGCAGAGGTGGAAGACTGTGCCATGCTAACAGATGGTTCACCCCCTTTGGGACTTACCGGTGATGACATGCCAAATTCATATCAGTTTAGTTTTTCATGACCTGGTCAAGTCTCTAAGGCTTTGACGGGGTCAAAGATATACCACAGTTTGAAGATCTCAAGCTTGTTTTTTCACACACAAGATTGCAATATGATTTGTAGGTAACTTATGAGATTTAGGAAAAGCTGGCATGTCCATGAGCATAAGTAATTTGAAATATTATGTGAAATGCAAGCAAATATGTGAAATCGCAAGGAGAGTGTACCCTCTTCGTGCTCTGGTTTGAGGTGAAATGAAATTGAGTTGAATGAATATGAGGGCGGACACCGATAGTAATGCAGTTGTGTGCTTCTAAATAAAGTTTCACCTTAAACTGAAGCAGTAGATAACAGCGCGTGGAGCTAGCTCTGTTTCACATGGGATTGTGGTACAAGGAGGGTAGAAATAATCTGATTCTCTATGCATTCTCTAGAAGGTTGTGTGCTGTTGTAGTATTGACAGATGATACCCAAACACATCTTAGATTATTGTGAGTTTTGAATTTCTTTTTGATACTTTAACGGATGAAATCAAGCGATTTTCATTGTTTTGATTTCTTGATATCTACTTGACCATACTTTATTCTTTGAAGGTGATGGATTGTATATATCAAAGAGTATTTGACGACAACAATTCTTGGTTAATTTTCATGATGTAAAAGCTACGTGATTCAAGTTATAAGAAACTGCGTTCAGAATCTGCTCAAAATCATATATATCAATTATGGATGAAAAGAAGATAACATAATTGTGTTAAGATTTTTCTAAAATGCCAGCAAAATCTGAACTGTTCAAATTTAGTCTTAATATGTATCTAGCGTGTGAAATAAATATCAAACGATCCGATATAGCTATCATAGCTATATTCTCGTAGCCATTAGTGGTTTTTTATATTACTTGCAAGCCTTTGGTGATGACTTTCGTGGTAGATGAATATAAATTGAGGTTAATCAAACACAAAAACTACAAATGTATGGGTTGATATATTGTCGAGATAGATTATTTGTCTACCATATCCAATCACTAGCAAAAATTTTTTTAACAATTCACCAACATCATGGCATAATGAGAACAAAATTTCAATACTGTCTACGAATTTCTAATCTTTTTTTGAAATCCATTTTATATTATTTGTTTTTTGATGAAAGATAGATGTGTGTGTTTTCAGCTATTATAATTGATCAAAATTTCTATGAAAATTGAAAATATTTAAGCTGTGAAAAAATTTATTTTATAATAGACTAATGTAAATTGATATGAAATTTTAATAGTATATAAGATAGCATCAAAAAAAATTTATCAGTTTGTATTCTTTTCCAATGCTTAACAACCTATTTGTAATCAAAATTTATTTTGATTCATAATTTTAAAATTCAACTCATTATAATAGTTTTAACATCTGAAAATTCAAAATACATGCAACGCAACAATGCATCAAAATTTATAACGATTATTTTTATCTTTTAAAAAACTTGTACAACCAACCGAAGAAAACATTTACCTTTATATTCAACAAAAATTGATGCTTTTACTATGCATATAAGTTTTGTAATGATAAAAAACAGATTGATTACATTTATGTGATATATCCATAATTATACCAAATATTGCAGCAAATGCATATATCAAATGAATTTGAGCATATTTTACTACAAGTCAAAACAATTTGTTTTGTTCATAACTCTCTGATATGAATTCTTTAGCCATCATCATGATTTTGAACATGACATTCGGCAAACTGTATATTAAGTTATACATCCAATTTGTATCAAATAAAGGTTAATTTATGAACATCTTCTTTAGCTTTTGTGTCTCATCATCAACAAATTGCATCTTCCGCTTTATAAAAAGATATTTCCTTCAAGGTTATAGATAAAATTTTGATCTAATCTATAAAATTGAAACTTTTTCATCAAGATCAACGCAAATTAATCATCATTGCCAATCTCAACAAATGTACTGCAAGAGTTTTACACATGTATGTTTTCAAACATTTATTCCATCTATATCAAGATTTTCTTTATATCATGTTATTAAATTCATAATGATCAATATTTTAACTCAAAAACAATATTTGTAAATGAATATTTTTTTTCTATACAAGAAATTTGACAAATTTATTGTTCTATCAGTCATAAAATCCAAAGATCAAATAACGGTTGACAAGTTACATCATGTCATAGTCTATAACTCTTCACATCATTTGCATAATAAAAAATAAAATTCTTCTATGTCTGAATCAAAATTGATGGTATTTGACTTAGTTATGAAAGAATAAATCATACATTTTTATAATGAATCAACTAATCTGCAGAAAAATTTTAATTGTTTTACTTTATTTCTAAAAATTCACCAAATACATGTGATTAATATTTTCAATAGAAATTTTTAAAAATAAATCAGATTGGCTTAACCTTCTACATATGTGCAACATTATTTTGTTAGAATTAATCTAAATGATGCTATATTCTGATGTTTTAGTCAGATTGATATGATTCATCCTATAACATTACTATTGCATTATTGCATTCATTATTACATGATATGATTCATGCTATTACATTATTCATGTAATACTTTCTTTTTTCTTTTTTCTTTTTTACAATTATATATTCCACTTTGTGATAAATTTTTTTTTCAATTTGAACTCTTCAACTTTTGAATAATGTAAATTCTTTTGCATAAAAAAATAACTTCACCAAATTTCTGAAAAAAAAAATTACATAGCTCAACTAAACATAAAATATAAAGAAATCACGTATTTACACATTATGTATATATTTAAATAAATATCTGAAAATAGAATTTTCAAATCAAAAAAAATCTTAATAACAGAATGCTCACGAAATTTCTAATAAATTTTACGTATATCATGTAACAAGCTTTTATGATTAAATAGTGACAAATTTATACTTCTCATGTGTCTCAGTTTAAAATGTCATACACATGTTTCCAAATTAAAATCTAATAAAGTTGACTTCATCAATAGCAATATAAATTTTTAGCATGTATATATATTTCTGTTTTAAAATAACGTTTTTTTATACTTTAAACTCAAATATTCAATTCTAAAATTATATTTAAGACCTTTTGGTACTTAAATTGCAAGAGTATTATGATTTTTTTGCCATATCGAATCTATATATTATGACGCAATTTGACATATGTTTGACTTTATTATATATTCTAATTCAAATATATAATATTTTTTATTTTTTAATTGATACTTTTTCATAAGAAATAAATCAATTGATATCAAACTAACATAGATTTAAAAAAAATTTATTGTAATAAATTTGATAAGAACAAGATCAATTTATAATGTATACTATCAATTTGATTTAATTATAAAAAAACATGATTTTTTATTCATAATTCGCTGTTGAAGAATAGTGAGCATCAAATTCTTCAATCACATTTGTTAGAGAAATATCAATAATTCGGATCTTCACATTATAATTTTTACCTATATCATCGTGATTTGTTAACACATATAGTGTGTAAAAACTAGGAGTTATTTATTTGATGGAAGCTCATTGATGACAATTTTAACGGTGTTTACTTTGATACTTAAATTTCATTTTAAACGATGGAACACCACCGATGGTAAATGTCATGCATATTCTAGTATCAACAAACAATGCATGCATTAGAATTATTTACAATTTCCACAATGAAGTTTACTTAATTTAGCATTATAAAACCGGATGTTACATGTGTGAAATAATATTATTATGATTTAATAATCATAATAATATTATAGTTAGACTTGATCATGTTTAGCTTAATTATTGTTAACTATAGCTAGTTATAATTTAATTTATCTAGTCATGTTTAAGTTTAGCTATATTGTTTATACTTTGCAAAAGAATAAAAAAAAATTAGAAGTTTTGGATGTGCACTTTCATTTTGTCTTTTACAAAAATTTTAATTTCAAGTGAACAAATTTTAATTTCATAATTAGTTTGATTGATTTTACTAAATACAGATAATTTTATTGATTAGACTCAATTTAATGTTCATTTAGTGTCAAATGTAAGTTCCAGAAGTTTGAATGTATCAAATGGAGTTGCTGTCTCAATCTAGTGATTATGAAATTTCTAGAAAATTTAAATCAGTGACATGTTGTCACTTATTGGAACTAATCAAACCTATTATAATTTATCTTTGTAAAAAATAAGTTAGATAAAAATTATTATTTGTTACACTAGTAACTTATGAAATAGTATCTATAGAGAGAGTAAATATTATCAAACAAGTTTGAAGAGTTCATAAGTAAAGATTTGTTTCATCAATGAAATAGTGGCATTTTTAGCATATTGGAGTATCTATGTGTATGAATTTGAATGAGAAAATGTATGAGAATGTGTTTGTACCATGAATATGATGAAGAATATTAGTCTTCAATA